GTTCGCTTTTGCTGCGCATGCAGTTCCACCCCCCATGTGGCACACCCCTCACACGTTTCGTGGCCCCATAGGGAGCTCCACCGAAGGCCCCAGTGGCTGCGTTCGCTTTTGCGGCGCATGCGGTTCCACCCCCCATGTCGGCACAACCCTCACACGCTTCGTGGCCCCATAGGGAGCTCCACCGACGGCCCCAGTGGCTGCGTTCGCTTTTGCGGCGCATGCGGTTCCACCCCCATTTCGGCACACCCCTCACACGTTTCGTGGCCCCATAGGGAGCTCCACCGAAGGTCCCAGTGGCTGCGTTCGCTTTTGCGGCACACGCAGTTCCACCCCCCATGTCGGCACACCCCTCACACGCTTCGTGGCCCCATAGGGAGCTCCACCGACGGCCCCAGTGGCTGCGTTCGCTTTTGCGGCGCATGCGGTTCCACCCCCCATGTCGGCACACCCCTGACACGTTTCGTGGCCCCATAGGGAGCTCCACCGAAGGCCCCAGTGGCTGCGTTCGCTTTTGCGGCGCATGCGGTTCCACCCCCCATTTCGGCACAACCCTCACACGCTTCGTGGCCCCATAGGGAGGTCCACCAAAGGTCCCAGTGACTGCGTTCGCTTTTGCGGCGCATGCATTTCTACCCCCCATGTCGGCACACCCCTCGCAAGTTTCGTGGCCCCATAGGGAGCTCCACCGACGGCCCCAGTGGCTGCGTTCGCTTTTGCGGCGCATGCGGTTCCACCCCCCGTTTCGGCACACCCCTCACACGTTTCGTGGCCCCATAGGGAGCTCCACCAACGGTCCCAGTGGCTGCGTTCGCTTTTGCGGCGCATGCGGTTCCACCCCCCATTTTGGCACACCCCTGACACGTTTCGTGGTCCCTTAGGGAGCTCCGCGGAAGGCCTCAGTGGCTGCGTTCGCATGCGGTTCCACCCCCCAATTCGGCGCACCCTTCAAACGCTTCGTGGCCCCATAGGGAGCTCCACCGAAGGCCCCAGTGTCTGCGTTCGCATGCGGTTCCACCCCCCATGTCGGCACACCCCTCACACGTTTCGTGGCCCCACAGGGAACTCCACCGAAGGCCCCAGTGGCTGCGTTCGCATGCGGTTCCACCCTCCATTTCGGCACACCCCTCGCACGCTTCGTGGTCTGAGGCGGCACCACCGAATGCCGCAGCGGCAGGTTCGGCATGTCGGTGTTGCCCCCATGTGTGTACACCCCTCACACGTTTCGTGGCCCCATAGGGAGCTCCACCGAAGGCCCCAGTGGCTGCGTTCGCATGCGGTTCCACCCCCCATGTCGGCACACCCCTCGCACGTTTCGTGGCCCCACAGGGAACTCCACCGAAGGCCCCAGTGGCTGCGTTTGCATGCGGTTCCACCCTCCATGTCGGCACACCCCTCGCACGCTTCGTGGTCTGAGGCGGCACCACCGAATGCCGCAACGGCAGGTTCGGCATGTCGGTGTTGCCCCATGTCTGTACACCCCTCACACGTTTCGTGGCCCCATAGGGAGCTCCACCGAAAGCCCCAGTGTCAGGGTTCGCATGGCGGCCTTGGGCCATTTCGGCACTCCCCTCACGAGGATCGTGGCCCCATTGGAGCCCCACCGATGTCGCCCGTGGCAGCATCCTTCATGGCTCTCAGAGCCCTCTCCTGCTTCTGCTCCTCGGTCAGGGGGACGCCGTCCTCGTCGTCGTCGCCGGCGCCCGCGAAGACGGCCACGAACGTGTCCCTGAGCATGTCGGGCCCCGGCGGGGAGCCGTGGCTACATAGGGAGCGCGGGCGAAGATGGTATTCACAATTGCGGTATTCACAACTGCGTATCGTTGGGTCCTTCGCCAGGCTAATTTTAATTTCAGGCTTCTCCACTGTTGCCACGCAGTGGAAGGTATATGTCCCCCTTCAGAGATAAATGTCATGCGCGTCTTCCGTTCCCCTTTTCTTCGTCATCCTTCTCGTCCTCCCTCTTCTCCTGCACCTACACCTACTCCCCCTCTTCCTCATCCTTCCCTCGCACCCTCGCTCACTCGCCCCCTCAGTGGAGAGGGAAGGGGCAGAAGTGGGTGGAGAGTAAATGGGGGAGGGGGCGAAGGGGGGCAGGGGTGGGGCCAGGAGGAAAGTGGTGATATTGGTGGGTCGGGGAGGGATGGGGAAAGCTTCCCTGCAGCGCGGGACTGGTGGCCCGTCGATTTCGCCACGCCTTTTGCAGCGCGCGCCGCGTGGTAGATATTGGCCGCCAGTGGCCGGATTTAGATTTTTGGGGCCTCCGAAATGGCCACAAACCCGGCCACAACCCCTGCCACGATCCGTCCCCGAGCCATGCATGTTGGCACTTTTGGTTCTCGTGTTCGGGTCGTTCTGGGTGTAGGTTCAGCGCTGGGAGAAGGGGGTTAGGGGTTGGGATCCGGGGGCCCAAGCTCGTCTGAGGTGAAGGTTAGCTCCAGTCCGGAAGGGGAGACAATTCCCACCCATGGGCATGTGTAACAAGAGTGCAATGCATGTGTACAACATGGTAATCCATGTGCAAACCAGTGTAAGCCTGGTGTAAGTCAGTGTAAACCAGGTGTAAGCCAGTTTCAGCCGAGTGTGCACCAGTGTCAAACGGGTGTAAACTAGTGTCAAGCACCTGTGAACCAGTGTAAACTGGGTGTAAGCCAGTGTAAACCAGTGTAAATTCGGTGTAAACCAGTGTGAGCTGGGTGTAAACCATTGTAAACGGGGTGTACACCAGTGTAAGCCGGGTGTAAACCAGTGTAAGCCAGGTGTAAGCCAGTGTCAACCACATGTAAAATACGTGTAAGACACTGGTAAAACCGGTGCAATTGCATGCGGAACACAGCTGGGACTGTCTTCAGACATCACAGAGCCACAGAACCCACATGTAGAGCAGGTTTTGCTCCAAAATCTACCCTCTAAAGCTCACCTGCTGATAGCTTAATGCCTGCACGCTGTCCTCTCAAGCTCGCAGCCTAGAGCAAGTCCGAGCCTATTGGCAACCTAATGATTTCAAGCACTGTCCTCTCAAGCGCGCAGCCTGAAGCGAGCCCGAGCTTGCTGGCGAAGTTTTCAACACCTGTTCTCTCAAGCTCGCCTGCTGGCGACCGTTTGCCTTCAAAGCTGTCCTGTCAAACTCGCCGGCTCGGAGCCCTCTTGGGTCTTGTTTGGGCCACTCCTGGGGCCAGTGTTGGGGGTTCTAGTGTCTCAGGGCTTCGGGTTCTTAGTGTCTTAGGGTCTCATGGTTTTACTGTGTTGGGGCCTTTTGGTCGTTGGGCATTTGGGTCTCAGGGTCCAAAGGTCTCAGGGTGTCAGGGTCAGGGTCCCAGGGTCTGATGGTATCAGGTTTCTAGGGCCCGAGGGTCTTAGGGTCTTGGGGTCTCAGGGTGCCAGGGCCAGCGTCGACCTCTGAAGGTGCCCAGAGATCCACTCCGAGGCGAAATCCCTTGTTGGATCTGGCCGCGTCGCTCGAATCACATGCCCTGCGACCCATGTCAATTACTAGGTGGGCGCATTGGAAATGCGAATGGCAAATTGCCAGAACGCGCGCAAGCAAACGATTTCACATCGAATCGGCGTATCAGAAATCCATTAACCCAAACGCCAACCACAAAACAATACGGGAAACACACCAGAACAATCACGTGGCCAGAACGGCGCAACGATAGCTGCACAGCATCCGGCTAACTTCTGGTACCATCTTTGGCCCACCCTCTGGCTAATTCGATGCTTACCATTGACTTTTCAACCTCGACGCGTGGCCCAAGATGCGCGCGGAGATCTTGGAGATCACCTGGGCTCAGCAGTACGTCGCCCATGCAGCTCGGCGCCATCCCGAGTGGAGGCAAGGGCCCCAAAGGCGGGGGGCCGAAAGGGGGCAAGGATCCGAAGGGCACCGGCGAGAAAGGAAAGGACAAGGGAGCCAAGGCGGACGGCGGCAAGAAGCCGAACGGCGAGAAGGAATGCTTCTATTGCAGGGAGAGAAGGCCGAGTGCAGGAAGAGACAGCGAGACCTCGCCGCAGCGGAGAACAGGCGGGAGCCGCTTGCCGCGACTCCAGGAGGACAGAGCGCACTCTCCTCGGCGGTTTCGCCGCCGCCGCCGCCGCCGGTCCAGCCGCCGCTATGACAGCCGCTGTCGGCGCTGTTGCAGGGCCAGCACACGTCGACCTTCGTCCTCTAGGAGCTCTGCCCACTGCCGCAGCAGGCAGCGGCAGCGCACCGGCCGTGCCGGGCCGCGACGCCGACGGACCCGCCCTAGTGCAAGCAGCGACTCGGACGGACACGAAGTATGTCATGATCGATACCTGTGCTGGGGCGAGCGTGTTCCCACGAGGATTCGACCCAGCAGCCAAGGGCGATTCGACAGTGAACCCAGCGCAGCTCGCGACGGCGACGACTGACCTGGTCGTCGACGACAGTGGGAAGCAGTCCCGCTTCGGCCTGCAGGGCGGCCGGAAGGTCACGGCGAGGCGCAACGAGGCCGAGGTGAAGTTCCCGATCGTGAGCGTCGGGAAAGCGGCAGGCCAGGGCAATTGGTTCTTCTTTAGCCCAGGTCACCAGGTGATGCTGCCCTGCGCGGCGTCTCTGGACCTCCAGCGGATCTCCTAATTTCCTAACGCGGTGAATTTGAAGAAGCACCGCGGGGCGCACTGGTTGCCGCGCCAGGTGGAGGAGCCGCGGGGCGCGACGCCCTTGCGCCCCGTGCGACCGACGGGCGGCTGGGGTTCAGCAGGCGCCAGCGCAGGCTCCAGCCCGGGAGCCAGAACAGGAGGCAAGGGCCTCCGGCGGCGGTCCGGGCACGGGCAGCCCCGCCCCAGAGCAGTTGCCGGAGAGCGAGAGGAGCCGTGCGGTTTCGCACGGGAAGCTCCGTCCAGAGGCATCGAAGCTCGAATTCGCACCCACTAGATCACGCACTTGCCTTTCCGCTTGTGGTGCCCCCGCTGCGTATTGGGCAAGGCCAGCGACTGTGCCCGTCGCCCGCGCCCCGTCGCAACTATGAGGGCGAGGCCAGGTTAGCAATGTACTTGTTCTTGGTGAAGGCCGTCGGCCCGCGGCCGTTCAAGTCCGCGCTCGACGGCCTGGGCATGCCCCGCGGCGCCGTCCTCGCAGCGACGGTGGTTGAGGGCGGCGATCCGTGCGCGCTGGCCGTCGTCACCGGGGCTTTGAAGCGCGCGGGCCGGGCGCGCGCGCCGACTCTCTGCGACCAGGGGAACGCCGTCAAGCGGCTGGCCGACAACGCCCGGGACAGCCGCGCCCACGAGACAGCGCAGCTGAACGCGCCCAAGGGGCCCAGCGCCAGCGCTGGAGGCACCGAGAGGGCGAACTGCGATGTCGAGATTCAGTGCAGGACGCTCCAGTCGCGCTTCGAGGAGTGCTGCGACCTGACGGTGGACTTGGGGCGCGAGATCCTGCCGTTGATGGTCGGGCGCGCAGCCCGGCCTCTGATCCGATTCCAGGCCAGGCAAGACGGCCTACGAGAGGATTCGCGGTCGCCCTCGCGGCGGCCAGGTTTCGGAGTTCGGCGAGTCCGTCTACTGCTGGGGCCCGCAAAAGGCGTCCGACGTGCCCGAACTTGACGACGCGCGGGCGCTGGTCGCTGGCTCGGCGAGAGTTTGGCCTCCGACGGGCGCTGCGTCGGCACTCCCGCCAGGGCGCGCCGACGCCGGTCCGCCTGGAGGCGCCTGGGGAGTGCGCGCTGGGACCAGGGGGTCTTGGATTCCATTGTCGGCGAGCCCAGGCGCCCCAAGGGCGCCGGTGATGCGCCGAAGGCGGCTGCTCCGATGGGGCGTCTACGTCGCGCTGGACAGGCAGATGCAGCGCGGCGGCGCTCCAGGATGCCCGGCGCGCTTCGGGCGCGCTGAGGTGCGCTCGCCTCAGACCTGGGCGCGCTTCCAGGAGATCATGGGCAGTGTCTTAAGCCAAGGCGGAGGCCGCGGCGGCCGGAGGCTGCGGCCGCGGGCGGCGCCGCGCAGGTGGCGCCGCAAACCGGAGCAGGGGCTGCAAGCGGTTCGTCGGCAGACGCTGCAGGGTCGGCGTCGGCGTCGGCGGGGGCGGGCCCGCGCGGGTCGCTGGCGGCGTGCCGGCAAGGAGCTCCGGGAGGCCCGGAAAAAGCTGGGGGTCTTGGCCGGCGTGCCGACCCTCCGCGCGGAGCACCTTGCGTGCCCCAATTTGGACGTGCCCCCCGGATTTCTCGCCGCAGCCGAGATGCGCGACGCGGAGCGGGCGTGGCAAATCGTCGACTGGGGGCGCGCGCTCTACGGGGTCAAGGGCGGTGGGGCGCTTGGCGAGCAGAAGGTTTACGAGCGGCGCGTCCGCGAGCTCGCGAACGTGGAGGCGCTCGGCGTCGTTGGGCCGATCTGTATCGCGGATGCTCGTCCGCTCGGTCTGGAGATCGTCTACTCCAGCGACCGACGAGGGCGAGATGGCGGTGAGGCGCAGGCTCGTGGCGACGCGGGTGAGCGCCGACAACCGGGAGGGCGCGACTCTGGCCGCGCCGCCGATCGCGGCGCCCAGGATGATCGCGCGCGCACGGCGGCTGCGAAGACTAATGCCGAGGGGCGGCGCGACTGGTTGATCGGCCAGGGCGACGTCCGAGCCGCTTCCCCGCGCCGCTGGGTCGGAGAAGGTGGTGATCATCCCGCCTCGTGGCCTGGCGCCTCCCAGCGTGGGCTGGCGAGCTCCGAAGGCCATGCGCGGGGCTCGCGAGGCCATCGGGTGCCGGGGCAACGAAGTCGCCGGCGCCATGGAAGTCGAGGGCGCCACGCAGGCAGGTCGTAATGGTACCCGCGATGTTCGTCTCTGACAGCTTCGGGTGCGTGGCGTACTGCCGCGGCGACGACTTCTTGGCGGCGCGCGCGGCTGCCGCCCTCGATGAGGTCGACCGGGTCTTGACGAAGCACTTCGATGCAAAGATTTTGCCTCGGATCGGGCCGCCTGCGCGCGGCGGCGAGGTAGCCGGGGGGCGGCGTCTAGGGGGGGCGATCCGCTGGGCACGCGGAGGTTTCCAGCGGGAGGCGATTCCGAAGCGCGGGGGGGATCTTGGCCCTGGCAGGCCTCAACAAGGACTCGAGAGGCGCGCCGACGCCATCTTCCAAATCGACCGCGGCTGGCAGGCGCGACAGGGGCGACGAGACCTGGAGGGCGGGGCCGCGACGGCCTTCCAGCAGGGCGCCAGCGCCGCGCTGCGCCCGTCCATTGACCGACTGACCATGCAGTTCGCTGCGTCGCAGGTGATGGCCTGGATGAGCATGCCGAAGATGTTGCGCGGCCTCCAGCTGCAGCGCGTGACGCGCTTCGTGCTCAAGTACCCGACGGAGGTGTGGCTCTTCAGGTACCAGAAGGAGCCTGGTTGTCCGTGCGTGTGCGCGGACACGGACTGGGCAACCGACGAGCTGACAAGGAAGCCAAATTCGTGCACGGTGGCGCGGTACGGGGGCCCTGTGCTGGATTGCAGCGTGGCCGAGCAGGCGACGATCGCGCTGTCCAGCGGCGAGGCCGAGTTCTACGGCATCGCGCTCGCGGTGGCGATCGGGACGCAGACGAGCCTGATGGTGTGCCAGATGGGCCGTGCGAGCGATTTGACCGTGGCATCAGATAGCTCGGCTGTGCGAGGCATGCGCGGGACGGGGTCCGGCAAGGTCCAGCAGTTGGCGATCAAGGAGCTGCGGGTGCAGGAGGCGTTGAGGAACATATAGTTCGAGCTCGCGATCGTGAGCGCGCTCCTGAACTGGGCCGGCATCGGCACGAAGGCGCACGCAGCCAGGAGGCTGAATTTCCCAGTCATGCAACTTGCACTTCGCCGCCTGTGAGAGGGGCTGGTGGCGGCGATTGCACATGTATGTTGCATGCGTTCTGTCCACAGGTGCCTGAGACACCATAGGTTTGGAGAAAGCGCGCGCCAGGTGTGTGCCAACCTGGCCATGGTGGCCGTGGGGGGGATCGCGCAGTCAGTCCGGCTTACGGTCGCGGGTAGCACCGCACCGTATCTGGAAGACAATGACCGTGATGCGACGGTCACGGGTAGCACAGCGCGGGATTTTGACACTAACGAGTTTGCCGAGGTGGCTGCTTGTAGCACCGCGCCAGCGCATGCGATCCAGCAGGGCGCGAGCAGCACCACCCCTGATCGAGAGGCTGACGCCTACGAGTGCCCTGGGGTGACCTTGCGGGCCGTGTTGGGCCCAAAGCGGCAACCAAGAGCGTCGCTGCAACCGGGTGGTCGCGTACAGCTCCGCGCCATTGAGCCTCGCCGCGCACGCTGGCAGGCGGCGAAAATGGAGCCTGTTGGGTCAAGGAGCCCAGCTCGACGACCAGGCGGGAATGAAGCTGAGTGACTGGTGA